TGCCTAAAATATAAATGTTAAAACATATTTTTAGGAGCATCGATTTGAGTTGTAGCGTCGACTATTTCTTGATTAGCAAGTTAGTACGATAAGAGGTGTTTTAATTATATTATCAAAGATTCTTGTATATCTAACTTTATAAAATTAGACTATAGTTCACAATGTAGACAATGCCTAAAGTGAAACACGTTTAGAGGATCATCAATAATTGCTTTGTAACAGTCTACTGTTTTTTCGACTAGCGAGTTAGTATTATAAAAGGTGCGTGTATTAGATTGTCACGTGATTCTTATATGATTGCAGTTTTTAATGTGGATGGTGCCTAAATTATTAGAGTGAGACGGAAGGAAAATCAATGTTTGAATTATTTTTGTTGAAAATTAGCGCAACTTTTTTTCTTTTATAGACATTATTAACTTGTTCGGGTTTGATCTCCTGCCCACGGTAAGCAGAAGTTATTATGCACACGGTAGGTGTTACAACATGAGTGTTGTTGCACCACATCTTCACTGTTGACGTGAAAACATTAGATGTTATCTCATTCACAATAGACATAATAACTTTTGCTCACCGTGAGCAGAAGATCATCACTATTAACTTGTTATTTCAACAACTATTAAAGACCATTAGTGCAATTCGTTCTTAAGCCCCTCTTTATTGGTCTTTTTTGTTTTTGGGAAAAATGTTATTTTGAACAGTGAATTATTGGATAACGTGTGATTAAGAAGTAGAAAAAAATTGATTTACATACAAAATATTTTATTGTGTGAATATAGTTGAAAATACGTATGTAGAAAAAAAGAACTTTGAAAGAAAGAATGAAAGATAAATATTCGCTAAATTTCATGCAATTTCTCTTCCTTTTCCATTGTTGCGCTTGATTGATTTCCATTCTTCTCAACATCTTTTTTTCTACATCATCATTTTCAATAATGTATTCATAAAATAAAATATTCTACACATAAACTTAAATTTTTTTCTACTTTTTAATCGTATATTCTTTTAAAATACAGTTCAAAACTTTTTTTTTGTCACAATGGCCACCAAAAGAATTTATGATTTGATATACGAGAGACAGTATCAGAAAAGAGAAGGCAAAAGGACACAATGTGTGTCAGTTCAGGCTATTTGAGTCATTGGAGGTGTCAACATCCACTCCCTATGAGACAGAGTAGGTCCAACCAATTCAAAGAATAAAGTCAATTGTACATCATTTTTATACATTACAGTGTACATCATCCATATTTACAAACGATTTTGTCACGGGTACATCTTGAGTGTACATCGGGGTGTACACCCCCCTTACATAGAGATAGGTCCCGCTTAAATAAAAAAATATTTTACATAGTGGGTCTCACCCCCCATGTGAGGGGGGTGTACACCCCGATGTACGTCTTTTGATGTACAAGTAGTATTATCCATTTACAAAATGTGATTGGTGAAAATTTTATTTAAAAAAAAATTGTCAAATAATAACTTGATACGTAAGGATGTCAACATACTTATCGGCTCGGATGGCTCGTGACTCGATCCTAGAAAAGCCCGAGTCAGGTCGACTCGTGGCTCGGTAGGATTGAACCGAGGCTCGGGCAGAACCCCATTTTTGGGGCGTCGCTCAAGACGAACCGAGCCTTAAAAAAAATTGTAATTTTCAAAACTTGAAATAATAATTGCATGCAGCTAAAATTACAGTTGCCGCAACCATACTGTTTATATTTTTAAAAAAAAATCAAATCAACTCGGCTCGTTAAGGTCCGAATCGAAAAGTTCAGGTCGAGCCTGAATTTTTTGGTCGAGCTTTTGCTGGCTCGGCTAAGGCCAAAAATAGCCCAAACTAGTTTTACTCGAGTCGAGCCCAAGTTTCGAGATTCGGCTCGCGACTCGACTCGACTTGACTCGTTGACACCTCTATTGACACGTGACGGAGTATACACTATGTTGTACGCCAAGCATGGATGGCATTTCAATACACTCTGGCTAGTAGACTAACCACTATTTTAACTATAAAATTGGTTGTAAAAAATTGTAGGCTTGATAAATGACGTAGCATGGGCAATACAATTCTTACCCACCGTGAGATCATTTCTAATTTAAGTAAATGATATTTTGCCTATGTTTGGCGGATATTTTTTTCAAAAATAATTCGAAATTCATTTTCAATAGCATATCTTCCCATAAAATATTTTATACGTAAATTGATTTTTTTTTTTACCATAGATTCTTCAAAAAATCATTATTTCAAAATATAATTCACCCCTAAAATGGGGCTGAAATAGGAGCTCAACTGTAGATCCCACAACTTCATTCTTCAATGACTGATGGGGTTCATTCAAAATATTACTTTTAATTTTTAACTCTGGATTAAGTTTAAAGCATAGAATATTTAGTCCATAATATACAATTTAAAATAATATATTCCAAAAGGATTATAATTTACTCGAACGAGCGCAATAGGTTAGTACTAGAGTTTGATTCAACTTTATTGAAATAATGCAACTTGACCTTCATCTCAATAAAGAAAATGAAGAATATTATATATTTCCAAAAATATATAATATTATTTTTAAAAAGTAAAATAGAAAGCTAAGATCGTCTTCAAAAGACTCTCTAAATACAAAATACTTCTTATTTTAGAGAGTCGTTACTTAAAAATGAGTTTCAAGAAACGGCGATGCTTAACGTACAATGATTGTATTTAAAAAAATCAAATATTTCAATACTCTAGTTATTAAACTATTCAAACCACATTTAAATTGATTGATCAACTGACATATAAAAAATTATATCAAATAAAATATGAAGATAAATCAATAAACATTTTTTGAAAAAAGCAAAAAGAAGAACCAAATCCAAAATAGATAACTTGTTGAAATGTATACAAATTTTGACTCTATAAATTTGAAAGAGAGTTTGTTGGAATGCGTGAGAAATTTTTCTTTAAATTTAAAGGTATTATCTATTATCCACTTAAATTTAAATCAATTTTTAACTATGAGAAACAAAAACAAAAACAAAAATATATTCACATGAGCTTTGCTACACGTACACGGGGGTTGACACTCCCGTGTACACGCCCCCCTCACAAGAGAGGGGGACCCACAATTATTTTAATCACTGTGGGCCCCCTCTTGTGAGAGGCGTGTCAACTCCCGTGTACATTTAGCATTTTTCATATTTACATAGACGGCATAACGCACGTAATACAACAAATACAGACAAAACTTAAGATTTTAAAATATAAAAACTTTTGATTGTGAAGAAAAATGAGTACCATCACCTACATGGCACCAACATCACATAATTTTATATAAAAGATTTATCACACGTAATGCACATCACATAATTTTATATAGACGATTTATCACACGTAATGCAACATAGAACGACAAAACTCAAAATATAAACAACTTTTTGTGTGACAAATGAAAAGCAAAATTAAATCTTAAAAAAAAAACCATTACCTACGTGGCAACCATATCATTATAATTTTTAAATAGACGGCGTATCACACGTAATACAACATAGAACAACAAAACACAAAATTAAAACAACTTTTGGTTGTAAGAAATTAATTAAAAATAAAGAAAAATAGATCATTATCTACTTAGCATCCACATAGTGCAAGATTTCAATCAAATAATATTTGGTCCCAAAATTAAATAATAAAATAATATGTGGCCATGAATGGATGCGCAAAGAGAAAGATTGTAAAGGGACGTAAACATTTTCTTGATTTTTATTAACCTTTTCTATGTATTGGCAAGAATAAGAATCAATGTCATGTTCCCTTCTTTTCTTGTCACTTTGCCAAAAGAATTCTCTCAAAAATAATTGATTTTGATGCAAAATTGAGTGGGAAAAGCATTAGCCAAATGCCTCTCGAATTGAAAGGAGATCTTAAAAATATTACACCCACCAAAGATTCTCTTACAAAGCCAATTTATGGGGAGACAATGATGGAGTCCAAATATCTTCATATTCTAATGCTATGATCTATTTGGGTCCCACCAACTAGTATTACGTACCATCAAGTTTAGATACGTTAATTCTTTAGTATTTGTAAATTTGCGGAATATTGTCATAATATGTGATCGTTGATGTTACATGCTTGATTATTTCTACTTGGATCTTGCCAAGAATATATGTTGTTGTCTTAATGTCATTATCTTCAATTCCTCTTGGATACACACGATACGTATATGAACATTGTATGGTTGATACTGCACTTACAATCATATTAAAACAAAACATTATTATTTGTGTTGATTAGGTGATTCAAATATTCGTATATTAAGGGCTAGTTGATGGAGCGAAGGGAGCGAACAATAATAATTATATAAGGAAAATGTTGAGCGTACATTACCTCCTACATAAGGGTGTCCATTATGTTATGTAGGAGGTGATGTACTTGTAGCATCACCTATTACATTATTGATCAATTTTCCAATATGCATCAAGCAAATTTCTATCAAACGAGGTTTTCTATTCGCATAGGCCCTTTTTCATTTTTCATTTGGATTATTCCGTAGGCTCTTTTCAAAGCGTGACTATCCGCCTTGCTCAAGTAGCACGGTTCTATTCATTTTTCTTTTTAAAATACATGTGGGGCCTGACACAGCACATGCAGTACCAGATCGTCCGTGCCTAAAGCATGCCATGCCGTCCAGACGGCTAGATAGACAGGACTTCGACTGAATTGGGTTTTCTTGAGCAAACTGCTGGCCTGGCTATAGACAATGAAATCGGAGAATCTTCGAATTCACAAAATGCTTTGAAAATTGTATAACAAAACACATACATCGCCAACAACTTCCGACATTTGTACTAATTGATGATCAGGATCCATGGCAATATACTAGAATAAATGTTCGACTTTAGAGTAATCATCCGGTCTAGCTCTACTCAAAGACGATACAGGATGCAACTAAACACAAAAACAAGCACACAAGTTATGATAATTGGACATTGTCTTTCTTCTTGTTTGCACATTCTATCTGAACTCATGGATACTCGAAACAATGGGGTTGGCAAAGGCAGTCAATGGCATGCATCAGCTTTCTCCGAGGACCAACAGCTACTGCACCCATATCTTTAAGCTTCTGCATGGTAAGATTAGCCAACTGAAATTTGTTGACACTCCGGCTCTGAAAAATGGTTATGAAGCGGCTGAGGCCTAGGGAAACTAGCCAGTTGTTCAATCCTCCAGCACTACGGAGTTTTTTCTCGAGATATAATGCTCTCATTCTTCGATTTAGCAGTGTGCTTGTATCAGCAAATATCATAAACTTCTTACTCACTTTTGATGTGCTGCCAAATCCTATCATTTCATCCTCTCTAAAACTATGAATTGGTGAATTGTCCAAATCAACCCTGTGCTGTAGCTCGGATGGTAGAACAGGTTCAGAAGGATGGACTATATTAGCCGGCGGAAGATCCTCCTCGGGAGACACCGAGATCGATTTCTCCCTTGCAGGAGACAAATGCGTTTGGACAAGTGTACCTGATGGACACTGTGGCTCAGAATTAGTTTTTCCAGGCTCTTGGATCTGAGGGTCTGCAGCGTTAGAATTTATGGGCTGTTCCTTACTGGACAATGGTGGGATTAAAATAGTGACTCTCTGCTTCTTGACCACCACCCAACAATCTTCATCGGCTGGGTCCACTTCTGGGTCACCTTGATTTTTTTTCTTCTTTCCCGTATGTCGTGATTTTGGTTTTGCCATTAGCTGTGGACATGGAGCGAACATATTCAAACTTCTACAGAAAGGACACGCTACCTCAATTCAATTACCATTCAACTGGTAATAAAGGAGGTACAAGCAGTACATACATGAAGTAAAGCAGAATACATATAAATAACAACTGGATTGGGTACATCGTAGCCATTAAGCACAAACACAGAATTCAGGAAGGCAACATGTATACTTCTCCATTAACCTATGGAAAGAATAAATCTTAATACATTGATTAGAGTATTTGCCTCACAATTTTTTGCTCAACACCTTCAGTGTATTAAATACGTTAGACCCATTATTTAATTGGAACCCAGGCATGAATGAAAAATAAACATGTCAATTTTCAAGTGGCAAGGAGTACTGAGTTGAGTACTCCAAGAGTACTAGAAATTTTCTCTTACAACAAGCCCCCACCCCCAGAGAACAAGAAGGAAGAAACATTAAGCTGTAAGTCCATAGCATTGCACATATATTTAGGGTAAACTGCAAGTACTGTCCCCAAGGTCTTTTTTCCTTGGCATTAAGCTCCTCAACCACCCTTTTTCAATGAATTAGTCCGTACTCACTCCAGCTAGTTGCCTAAGGAACAATAGATGAACTTTCAAGAAAATGCTCGAGCCTTCGAAGCTGAAATGTAACAAAAGCGGGGGGAAGGGGTCTGTACTAGAAAATGAAGGAACCACCACCACCCACCAAACATCCACATGCGAAGATGGGGGTTGTGACAGGGAGGGGGCTGATGGCATGGGGTGCGGGTGGGGGTGGAACCAGGAGCTGCGAACTGGGAGGGATGTTCGGAGGTGGGGGAGGGGGGCGGGGGCTTAGGAAGAAGATGATATTTTTTCCCTACACACACACACACACACCCCTTATTTAAGCTTTAGTATAAATTGTATTTTCATGATCACTTGACGTTTTCTTAGACGGAAACCATGAATGAGACTAATTTCATTAGAAGGTTGAGGAACTTAATGCAAATATAAAAACGTTAGAGACATAAGTGAATATGGATTCAAACATTAGGGAGGGCTCGGACAATTTACCCACATTTTTTAAGAGGAAGAAATTGGGAAGGTTCACATACACTTATACCATCATAAACTACATTTGGCAATGGTTTGGATTTAACAGATTTTGTGCAACTGCGAGTGCTGCATTAAGAGAATATATTCTCTCTGTTTCAAGAAGTCATTCAACACAATGCAATCCTATTAGCATCCCACAAACAACTCAAGTATTTCGAACATCTGCTCTCAGTCTCATATTAAAACATTAGAACTGCATAGTCCATAACATTAACTGAACAATGAGATACGATAGTCGATAGTCAAAACACCCATATCGTCTGCATCTAGCCCAGTAGAAAAACAGAACTAGCCTGACTCAATTTTTCAAAGAAACAACGGGGAGGCTATATAACAGTTTCTACATTTCTCCACCCCATACGACAAAAAGATAAAAAAAAATAATAATCAACCAAAATACTCTTAAAAGTCATTCTGTGAGACATTTCTTCCCTCCAGTTTCATGTAGATTCTACACAACATTTCTTTCCCAGAATTTAGCCCTTGTGTGGGAGTGATTATTTGAAAAGTGATTCTTTCGGAGAATGTGTGGATAAAAGGTAGGGAAAAACTATGGGAGAACATGAAAAATGATTATTTTCCTTTGAAGAATGCGTAGTTGAAAATGAGTGTGGAGGACAAGTGGTTTTCAAATACTCACTTTCGAACAAGGGCTTATTTCTCTTTTGCATCTCTGTCAAAATTTGTTGGGGGCAACTTATTTAAAAGATCTCAAGCTGAAGTTAACAGATAAAGTAAAAACAAATACGATTCGTTGTCTCTCCATATTATACAAACTAATATGTATATTGCTCTCCAGAATTTTACATTTAAAAATGATATTTTCTAAACAGAGAGAGATGAAGACTTTCATGAATACCACACTACCAACATTTATCAGCATTTACGGACAGAGGAAAACTACCAACATAAAATTACGAGTTATCTATTTTAATCTCTAATTAAAGTTTATAGCTGCAGTACAGTTCTCTAACAGTGCCTATGGTTGCATAAGCTTTTCAGTCTGATTGCAGTTGACCAGCAGTGAAAGGAAACATAAAAACCCAGCCATGCCTGTCAAGAAAGCTAAATATCCTTTCATTCAAAAGATGAGGTGGACAGGAGAAAAAAATAAGTTATTTCTCTTGCTTAACATGATTGTGTTGAAGATATGCCGATAATTGATATTTCCTTGAATCCTACACTCTTTTACCTTGATCTTGGATGAATTGCTTTACTATGAGTGCAATCTATAAAGAAAAACGGCCAAAAAAAAATAAAAATAAAAAAATGAAACAAATTACTATTATAAGGTTAGCTGAAAGAATTTTGTAGGTCTTCGCACTTTGTCTAGTAGATGCAGAAGCACCAGTAAATATTAACTGATAATACTGTTGTGTTTGGTTCAACATGGTTGAACTTTGATGGATTTGAATTTGAGGAATGATTTAAGCTTGGATCGATATCAAATCGGTTGGTTTTAAAATCCATTAACTGGATTTAAAATCAATGGCTTTGCAAAATAATTATAGGCATCAACAAAATTTACAAGCATAGATGTCAAAATTTGTAATGACGAATCCATTTCATTTAGTTATTGGTTTTGATTCATTATGGATTTCAAATCTTTAACTTAATCCATCAACCAATTTTAGAATTCGTTGTGATGAATTTGAAATTCTCCTGAATTTGAGTATTAGGTAATCCTCTCCAATTCTTTAATGGATTCAAATCCGCCAAATTCATTTTGTTGTCCAATCAATGAATTTAAACCAGTTTGACCTATCATCTAACTGCAATTTCAAGAATTAGCTAGGAATGTAGAGATTTTCAAATGACTCCAACAAGTCTGCTCAAATAAAACACAAGGAAGGAAGGAATTATACTATGGGTTGATGTGTTTGGATATAGACTTAAAAAGCATAATAACTCAATGTTAAAATGTTCAAACAACTGCAATGCATTCTTGTTATGAAATTCAAGTTCATTGGTCCAAATCCTTTGATCAAATGGACCCCAATTTCCAGAACTAATATAGATACTCGTACACTTCATAACAATTTCCAGTGTTCACTTGTATCATGAAGGTGAAACTTGCACTCCTTTGTTAAAGTCTGGAGATTGATATCCACTATTAACTTAGAGTTTGCAAGAAGGGGTCTCGTTACAACTAAACCATATTCTACAGATGCATATTTCTAGTGGAAAGAAAAATTGACTGCATTGCAAACAACAATGAGATAGCAAAAGTAAAATTAAACCAAGCTTCAGTGGAAGACCATTTCAGAACTCTAGTATTAGATTTTTGTTGACAATTCTTATCTATAATCCCCCAATACAAGTACAATATCGTTGTTCTATAGATTTGACTGTGGGTCCCATATTTTCTTTATTCAAAATATAGAGGTTTTCATCAAGAGGCAGTACATGAAGATAAAGACCGTTTCTACATATTTCTCACCCACTGTTCTATGGATACAACCTAATGTAAGACCATTGAAGAACTCTAGTACAATAATTTTCTGGAGATTTCTGTATCCATAACTCCCTTTATAAAAGTAAAATATCATTGTTTCTTTAAACTTTACTAATGGAAATTCCTTTGAACCATAGGGATTTTCAACAAGGGCCAGCACATGAAACTAAAGACTATTTTTACTTATTTCTCACCCATTCTATCAGCACAATGATCGCATTTCTGCATAAAATTTGTAGGAAAAAAGAAATATTTTTTCTCAAAACGGAAAATTTATTATTAAATACAAAGTACGGTGTAATCGTTCTATAAATTTGGCTATTTCTCCATTTGAACTGTAGTGATTATCGTCAAGAAGCAGTACATGAAAATAAAGACAATTCTACGCATTTCTCTATCGATAGAACAATTATTAACTACCAACCAATAATTTTGTAAAGCAAACCCAGAATAATTCAGTCCCCCGAAGCTTTTGACAGTACAATAAATTGCCTATAAGCATATAGGTTTAAGGTGAAGGGGATGAACCTGGTGAGATTGTGGGAGTAAGTATCCGAATCTCCAAATTCTTTCCAAAGCTAATGAAATCGAGAAATTCGAACCCAAGAAATCTATAAAAGAAAATCTTGATCTTCCACGAGAATCTTCCGAAATTTCTCTGATCTCTCCTGCCCTTTCGTTCTTCTGTTGACAATTACAGAACGAGTTTGACGAAGGCAGTGTGGAGCTCTGATTGGAAATGTTCCTTTTTCACCTGCTCAGTGTGTGTGTGTGTTTTTTTTCCCATAAAAAATATTTTTTAAAAGTTGGTCAGTTTCTCTTAAACTTACAAGATTCTAAGCAATTTACACTTTTCAAAACTTCAACTTCAGTTTAAAAAAATAAGTCAATTAAACACTTTTAGCCCTTGTTTGAACCACAAAAAATGCTTTGTAGAATAGTAATTTTTTGAAAAATGTACTGTTGAAAAATAATAATAAAAATTCGATTTACGTGTAAAATTATTTTATTGAAAAACATGAAATTGGCTCAAACACGGGCTTAATTTAGAATTGTCATGCAGAGTTTCGTGTTTACAATCGAAGTGTGTCTTTTTTCTCATAAAAAAAAAAAAGAGAGAGAACTTTTTTGATTAAATTTGAAACTAAAAGTTTGGGACTCAATTGAGATTTTTTCTTAAAGTTCATGGGCCGCTGATGAAATTAAACCCATGTTAGCGCCCGGTGAGATTATCCTATCGCTTTACCTTCTTCTCAACCAGGAGCCATCACACTCTCTCTCTTAGCCATGGTTCAGTTGAAGCCTCTCGTTGCTCTTCTTTTCTCGCTGTATCTGTTTGTACCTTGGACTTCTGCTAAGTCCGCCGACGTTCACTACTGCAGTATGATTCCGAATTCGCTTTACTTTTTGTATTTCCTACTGTAAATTTAAGACGTTGGAGTTCCGTTTAGTCAATCAGTTAGTTTAATTTCTTCTTTTCACACCATTTCATTTGTTTTTAAGATTAGGTTTTCGACCATTCCGTATAGTTTGATATTTCTGGAGTAATTGATTGGTTTCGGATTTCATTGCAGATTTTCATATTTCTTGAAATTTAACGTCTTAAAAACATTTTCTGGAGTTTTTGATGGGTTTTGATGATCAATTGGATAATGGAACCCTAAACTATTTTATTAAGAATAAAAATTTTGTTTGTAAGAAAAAGAGATATATTTATTTGTTTGTTATATGGATTATAATTTTATTAGTTTTGCCCTTTTCCAAATGAAATGCAGAGAAGAAGCTACCTATGCTGTTAAGTTCAATGGAGTGGAGATAACTCCTTACCCTATTTCTAGAGGTGAACAGACCACCATCAGCATTGCTGCATCTTCTGGTAATGCATGATCTCTCACACAGTAAATTTGTTTTTCTATTTCTCTGATTTTTTCTTTAAGCGTGTTTCAGAGTCACAAGTTCTTTGCTAATGTCTTCAGTTAAAAAATAATAAGAACATCTTTTGTGCCTTCGTTGTTCAATTAGCTTCTTTATGGTATAAAATGGATTGGATGACAATGTCCTAGAAAATAGTACCCCTTCATCCGGACATAGAAATACTATTCCTTCAACTTAGTCAAACTAACTTTCATTAGTTTTGCTGCTTCTCTAAATGCAGGAGAGACTCTAGATGGTAGCATTTAGATATATCTTAGCATTCACTTGATTATGTTTCCAAATATTAAATGACTAATAATTCATTCAGAAAACGTTGCTTGCTTAAATGGGATTTTTGGCGAGGCATAATTAAACATTCTATATGCCGTCGAAAGCATGCTGTCTTGAAAAGCTGAAGAACAAGTTTTGTGTGCAACGGAGGTATTTCTCTCTCTTTTTTTCCAGGTTTGCAAAGAGTAATAGTATACTCATGTTTTTTTGTTATCTAACCTTTGAGTACTTGGGCTTATATCTTGTATGGCAACCAGAAGATAAAATTAACAAGTTTCCTTCTTATACATTTCTTCTAGCTGAAATGTACCGTTCTTATACCTCCCATGCCTTTTTGTATTTTATAACAGATTCCTTTATGTATGAATGAAAGAGAAGCATCATTAGATGTCTTCTTACAGATCACTGATGGTCGACTTTAAAGTTTCCATATTGGATTTATTTTGGTTTTCCAGCTTATTAGTAATAAATGAAGTAGGAGGACTAGATGTGTCACTTACCATATATCTCTAATTCTGACCTACACTCTCACTCTCTCCCACCTCTCTCTCAAATTTTTGTGTATCATTGAAGGAAGCACGCCACGTATCAACTTATTGGTGTTAGATCAGCGTGAATTTAAATTGTGAGATCTCTGGTGGGTTGGGAAAAATACTAGATTTTGATTGCTTGGAAGTTGGATGATAGCCATCTAGTAGGTAACCATGTTGCACCTATACGTTGTCGGCTCCAGCGTGTTGCACTATGGCACTTGTTGGACACACTTTGACACGTCTTAGGAATGCCATATTGTGTGCCTTTTTTAGTTTTTTTTTTTTCAAATCCCACACGACCTCGACAAGTGGTCTAAAAAATAGAAAAAAACCAGCATGCCAGCAACTGCAATGAAAAAGGCCATCATCGGCAAGTGAAGTGGATGAGGCTATCGCCGACCAATGCAGCGAAGAGAGAGATGGAGAGGGTGAAAGGCCAAACCTTAAGCATTATTTTCACATAAACGAAGATGGTGCTTGAAAGTTGAAAGCCAAACCCTATGCAGGGTCAATATTTTTGTAAGTGGGTCAATTGTTGGTTTCTTATTTTTAAGAGTTCGTAAACAATGGTATTAAAACTTTTAATACATATAAGCCGTATTAATAAATTTTAATTAAACTTCCCTTAATATTTAATATTTTTAAATTAATGTAAAAAATTATTAAGTGAGGCTTCTATTTTAATTTTTTCTATAATAATGAAATTGTTTCATGACTATGTAACTTATGAAAAATTCTCCTCGTATATATACACGTATCTGCATATCCTATTTTTTAAAAAAAATTGTATCAGTATACCCGTATTATATAGTATTCGAATTACTTATCCGAATACGTGCTTCTTAGGTAGGTACACTAGTTAGTATTTACTATTCCTGCCAAGACACTGATTATCCCGTATCTCGTAAGTCACCTTGGTTACTATGTTTCAGTCGTATTGTGCATTGCCCATGTCAAGTCTAACTTCATGTATTGCCATATGCACTTTGAATATCCCCTGAAAATGTTCAATTTGCCCAGCATCACTAACCGCATACTTTTTCTTTTTTCTCATGGAGCTAATGTTTTTAACATTCACAGGGTTCATACTCTCTTAAAATGTCAATGGTGGATGAGAACAAGAAGCAAATGACTTGCATTACTTTCGACTTCTGCATTGGGTTTGCAGCGTCAGAAACCTTGGCTTCAAGTTTAAGTACTCTCGAGGATTTGCTCCTCTGAATCTGCATCGATTTTGTAAAGAAAAACTTTCTATTTCGAATGTTATAAACCTCGTATCTGTATCTACGTCAATGTTAATATTAGCGTACTGGATTAAAATTCATTAACCACCCTTAATTCTAACAAAATAGCTATGCAGCCTCAGATATATGCTAATTTCTGTCTGAATGTCTTTGCTGTCATCCCAACTACACTTTCAGAATCGAGCCTCTTTACAATTTCCACTCGAGCTTTTCCTTGAGCAAATCTCGGCATTATAGCCGGAAAAAGTGTGTTTTTAAATAACAGTCAAAAAGAATTCATGTTTGTGATGGAAAAATTTACATAAAAGTTTAAACTTTTTTCTTTGTTGACCTGTCAAATTATCGTGGTGTAATGATGGTGGTGGATTGAAACAATCATTAACTAACATACTGTACTTGAAGCATCCAAGGCCTTAATCAAAGATATTCAAGTCATACAGTGATTTACCCATCAATAACGTGTTTATAATAATCTGTGGACCACATTTTCAATGATTTCCATCACAACCGTGATATGCCATATAATTGGTTCGATTTTGAGTGTTTTTGTGAGTGTCTACTTATTTCATAGTTATCTTGGCTTCTTAAGGGTTCTCGACTAGTTCAATATATTGATTTGTGACGATTCATAATTTATAAACAATGTTGGTTATAAATATGGGCATGTTTAAAAAAGAGTAGACAACACAATTGAAGTGATCTTTACTTAACTTCCTTTTTTGATTACGGTCCAACGATGTCTAATATATCTCACCGAACATGCAATAAAATATTAACTGATAGAGACATGGCTCATGACTGGTACTGAAAAGGTTCAATCAACAAACCTGCTTTATATCCACAAAGTCTAATTTAAAGAATGGGTAAAAAAAGAAAAAAAAAAGCTGCTTTGGCTTTTTTCCTTGTGACTGAATTATGAGCCCATGGCACACCTTGTCCCCCAAAATCAACTTCTGGTCCCAACTGTACTGGTTCCGCTGGTGTGAAGTTCCCATTTTGGATGGTGCAATTTGTGTGTATTCCCCAATCATCAAGGTTTGTGAAGGTCTATAGCTTCCCTTTTCTGATGGAAGTTGCTGGTGGGCCCGTTTTACATCCACATGGATTGTTCGGATTGGTTGGTGGGCTAATGGAAACCAGTGCAGAATGTGGTACTATACAGCCTATAACTCACTCTTTATCAGTTGATTATTCAAGACTTGATAAAGCAACTAACAATGGCATTCTAAGAACTACCTTCCAATCACTGGAAATCAAAAGAAAAATCTCTATCAAACTTGCCCCTCAAGCATATTCTTCATTATTCATTCTCAGCCTAGTCTTGGTTTAAGCATGTAGACGAACAGGTTTTGATTTTGAGTATTGTCGCTATCCATTTATGAAAATTGTGCACGTGTCATGTCTTTTTCATGAAAAAATGGAACTGACTTGCTCGTGAAGGGAAGTGTTGAGGTGGTTCAGGAGTCTTATCTTATTCGTTTATACTTTAGTTTGTTGTCAGCACATGTGATCCCAGTTCAGGAAGAAGAAAAACTGAAGAGACGATGAAAAATATGAAAGGAAGAATCCTTAGGAAACTCAAAAACATTTCAACAGTCACTCAGAAACAAGGCCTAGTTTTTCACCCAAGTTCATTCTTTCAAGCTTCAACTCCTCACAGAGAACACAGCAATGACAACCCTCCCAACTTAGTAGCCAGCCACATCAGCATATCAGGACTTGTAAACAATGTACTGGAGGAGGAATTTTCTTCTGTTTCTAATGTGGACAACGACGAAAAATTTCGACCCTACATAAGATCAACAGATCATGATCAGCCTGCCATTGATCAGGTATCATTGTTGTCTGAGGTTGGTGATTTAGCAGAGATTGGCAATTCAGCTTGTCGTCCACCAATAGGAGAATTCGAGGTCCATTCTAAACTCATCCCTGTACCTTGCTTCAAGCCGAGAGACATGGAAGATTCTAGAAACTGCGAAAGAAAGGAAGAAAACGATGGATTCCCATCGATATCAGATTTTGAAGAGAAATATCCTCCAGGTGGAACTGATTCAGTCATATTCTACACCACAAGCCTGAGAGGAATTAGAAAAACGTTTGAAGACTGTAATGCAATCCGGTTTCTTTTGGAGAGTTTTCGAGTAGTATACTACGAGAGAGATGTTTCGATGCACTTGGAATATAGAGACGAGCTGTGGAGAGTACTTGGAGGTCGAGTAGTTCCCCCGAGGCTTTTCATTAAAGGTAGAGACATCGGAGGGGCTGATGCGGTCGTAGGATTGCACGAAAAGGGAATGCTAAGAAAACTCTTACAAGGGATATCCTTAACTCAATCGAATTCTCCTTGCAATGCTTGTGCAGGAATGCATTTTGTTTTATGTTTCCACTGCAATGGCAGTCGAAAAATCACTCCAGACGGGCAAGCAAATGGATTATCATCCATAAGGTGTCCAGATTGCAATGAAAATGGATTAATTAAGTGCTCAATTTGCAGCTTGAACTAAGTGTTTTTATTTTCTTGAGATTTCTTGATGTCTGTAGATATTGTACTGTTTTAATAGCAGTCTACAATGTTTAAATGACCAAAACTATAAATCTATGTGTTAATCCTTTTAGTTCTTCTTGTTATTGGATATCTCGTTTGTGTGAGTTTTTTCTTTATTTCTAGGACCTCTTGGGAGTTACAGACAGAGAAATGTACGTGTGATCGACTCCTTCACAAAATATTTTAATGCACTCGACTTGAACTAGAATCTTTGCCTACTCTAATACTGTATTCAATCACCTTTTAAACCGTTCTAAAGTCATTTCTTTAGAGAGACTATTTCTACAATCATTTCACAGATGAACTATCTGATTTCCAAAAAGGAAAAAAAAAAAAGGTAATAAACTGCTGAGGAAGAAATCTCTAGTTTTCCAAAATCGTTATGTAAGTAAACACATTCAAGCTTAAATTAAAATGTTCAGTCTATGACTAATGCTTCGAAAGCCATTTTAATGATTTTCTTCCCTCCCCTTCTTCTCTTTTCCTTTTCGGAATTTCATTATTTTAGTGATGAAGAAAAAACTATTTGCGAGAGGGACCTTACCATTTAGCCTAAAGCCAAACTCGAGATAAGAGACTCCGAAAGTATTTTATGAAAATTTACTTATATATAAGTTTAACTTATAGCTTATAAGTGCATAGCTTATAAGTGCAGATACACGAGAATTCCCCGAGTCTTCTCTTGATATCCGTAAAAACTGATACATGTTAGTTAATGATTGCCTTGGAGAATCAAACTTCTAGAGATTTCAAAATGCGTTTCCTGAAATAGTCCAACACATGTAGTGCGCCTTAAAAGAACAGACTACCTCAACATCGAGCTAGTCAAAGTGCTGCATATATCTCTAATAAATGTGCTTTCCAAAAAAAAAGGAATTTTGAGTTCTGGTCCACACGATAAGAGTGCGCCAGCCATATGATCTAATCTTGGGAATAATTTGCAAAAGACAGCACAGGAACTTATCAATATACATTCTGAACTTGCACTAGTGGTTGGTTAAGAAGAAAATCAGATGAATACGAAAACATTAGAAGGTGAATTACAAAGTATCACTTCAATGAAAAAGTAAAACCAAAGAATATGGTAGAGCAAAGAGATGTTAAGATTAGAGGTGTCTACATCGAGAGATGATTATCACTTCTGAGTCCTTGATACAGCTGAAAGAAAACAAAACCGTCTAACACAACTTCACTCGAAATGATGAAACGGTCTCTTTTCAACTCGACCCAAAAACGAAAAACGAGTTAGGTATGAACACACTTCCTCAAATTTGCAGTTAACAGTCAAAACCCAAGTCTTTAAGCAGAAACCTCGGTTATAGCATGTGCGTGGCTTCTTCTGTCACTCGAGTTGCGCTAGTTGGCTGCTCTAGTTGGGTGAAGTGAAATTCAATTTGTAGTCTTTGATGAAGAGGAGTTGATGTTATCAAGCCTTTCTTGATATCGTCTTGTAGTTCTCTCATTGGTATTGCGGCCAAGAAACTCTTTATATACTCTTTGCACGACTCTTTACCTTGACAAACAACCACTTCTTCCTCTTCACTCATAATTGGATCCTCGGGTCTGGTCACTGGTGTCCCTTCTTTCAAGCCCTCCTTCGACTCCACCTGCTGCTCTATATTCAAGTTGTCAGACTCCACTGCAACAACAGTCTTCTTATCATCTACGGGTTTTTCTTCTGGAGATTGCTTGGTATCTGGAAGTCTGTAGATAGTCGTATCCCTGTCGAATTTCAGTATGTAAGCTTGATTGCATCCCTCGTAGAGTCGTTCCCCTAATGTGTCGATGATGTAGTAAGCATCTGTTTCGACCTTCAGGACAAAAAAATGGTCATTCCAACTGACAATGAAAACGTGGGATTCTCCATTTCCAGAACATTCTGAATGATTAATCTCGTCCCAGATATTGTCAAACAACATAGCACCATGCAAAAATTCAAAAAATTTCCCCTCCATCCCTTCTGGATGGAAAAACCCGATAAACGATTTCTCAGGAACTACACAAAGAGCGCGTGTTTTGGATTCGAGGACTGTCTCTAGATCAAAGTGCTTATCAGGAAACCTCTCCCTGTAAATTTCATTTTCGCAAAGGTTTCTCCATTCTAACGAGCCTTCTCGGATCAAACTGTCAAACTGTGACTTAATGGGCATGAGGTCATGGTTATTCTGCAACCAATCAGCAATCACCGCAACAAGGGCTGTACATGCACTTTCTCCAGCCGCTTGCTCACTTCGCTGATCAATGGAAGCCAAGAAGACCTGTATTTGAATCTTCATGCGTCCATCGCGACTTGTGATTTCTTTCTGCTCCCAAGTGCCAACGGTAAAACTATCATCACCAAACTCAGAAACTGAAGATCGATTTGCATTTGAGTCTTCATCTGCCTTATGCAACTGCCAAGAAATAAATAGCCGTGCTTAAGATGAAAATCGGAAGTATATGATAAATAACCAAGGGTGAAATATATTGCATTTTATGTAATAACCTCAGAACATAAAGAAGGTAATGCTATAAAAGCAGTGTTACTAACAGTTTGATGAATTTACAGACAACAATCAAATTGCTAATGTCCCATGAACTTATAATGACTTAAGCCGGTGTATCATACTCGCCAAGATGAAAAAACTAGTCAACTTATTTCTTAATACATTTCATAAATTTCAGTGGCATGATTAAATTCTAAAGTAACTGCACCAGGTCACAAATGCTTCCCCAATTAGATTATGCACGGTGCAGTTAGGAGACTCGTTTCAAACCCCGAAAAGAAGAAAGAAAAAGGTTGTTAAGGCCACTTTCATTTAACATAGAAAGTAACTTTTCTGACCCTTACATATGATGCAAAACGGATTTTGTTCTATCTTTGATCAGAGATTTCTCTATGAAAAATACGAATCAGAGTTTGAAGAAGGGGAGGAATATAGGTTTCATAATTAGTATTATAGGCCTAAAGACTAAAGTCAAGCATAGTATAACTACAAGCCTCACACCAGGTCATAAATGCTTCCTGATTAGAATATGAATGCTGCGGTTAGGAGATCATTATGAATGCAAAAAGAAGAAAGCAAAGGATGTTACGACTTACCAAAGAAATATAGATATCCTAATCAGTATTACAAAGTCAAACACAGTACAACAATCAGCCTTATACTGGATAAAGCCAAAAAAAATGACAATTTTTGCTTCATAATTCAATTAAACAAAAAATTGAATAAAAAATCACAAGCTTGAAAATAAACTGCGTTAAATGGTGTAATGCATTTAAGTATGTAGCAGGTTGGATAATATGAAAAAGTGCTATAGGAATTGTATATGATTGAAAGATCATATACAACATTGGTGAACATGTTAGAAGGGGTAAACCAAATTGACATGTCTTGTGATATTTGTTAATGATCTAGTTGCATTAGCTACCAATACATCTAGCAATCAACCCAACTGCAAGGCGGAAAATTCATTTAGCCAACCTCAAATTTATTGGAAAAGGTTCTGTGTTGTTGTTGTTCCTATGGTATAACAAGAGAGCATTTAACGATCCTTACCCCATACAAGAGAGATTCGTCAGGGCTCAACTGTCGGCGATCAAAGTCAATATCATCTCCACCTTCTTCTCCATAAGCTTTCTTTAACAATGGCTCTCCTTTGGCCTTGGGAGATCTGAAGCTCAGCTTCCTCTTTCTCCAAGGTAGAATACTACGTTTTGAATTCTGCATCAGAGATGGCTCAGAAACAGTGGAACTCAAATCATCCTTGTGCAAGGAGCCAACATCTGATTTGCGGTTGCTGTAGTAAATCCAATCTTCATCCTCAGCTTCGACTTTAGCACTAGAGTATAATGACACGCCAGCATAATTAGCATACGCCAATGAACCATAACTAAATGACTTCCTAACAGTGGAATTCTCATTCGTGTCGTCGGATGCTCCTTCAGCATATTCATCAAGTGAGTCTGCATCAAAGGGATAAGCATACTCGCCCTCATCACTCTTGGCAGAGCATCTGCCTTCACTACCATCTTCCTCCAGGCAAGCTTTTTTAGCACTCCGAGTCGACACAAAATCTGTGAAGATTTTTACCTTTCTGAGACCAGCTTTAAGCACAGAAACTTCATCTCTATCTATCGAGGAAGTGTCTGCGGATGATGGAGATGATGTATCCAGCATCATTTGCCTTTGCACCAACACTTTTGGTTCTTGTGCAGGTCTGAGTTCCAATAAGCTTAGACATATCTGAAATCAAAATGGCTGTTAAGATGTAGAAGGAAATAAATAATTTTGAAGCCTGTAATAAAATTTAAATAACAGATATTATGAAGATTAGTGATCTCAAATTGATGTCAGATAAAATTCATGAATTCATACGTACACAAAGCAAGGAACAGCTCTGAGCTGCAGCACCTGACACTGAAAGTGGAATCTTAAGTTCAATCTCTTGCTCTTCATTCTTGGAAGCAAATTCAGCAAGGTTCAAGGCTGCAGAACCAACTATAGGAAACTTGTTCTTCACCCCTTGATTCAACCCCTAAACAAAACCAAGCAAGTTTAGTTCTCTTGAACAAAACTCTGAAAGAAAACAAAAATCCATATGTTGATCTTAAGAGCTTAATAATAACTCTTTAACAAACCTCTGATTTTAGAAAAATGCAAACATAGACGTAAATAATATAACATGGTATAATTGCTATCTTGCAGAACTCGCGATAATTGATTAACAAACCAATTAAATTAAATGGCGTTAGACTCTACCTATTTTTAGCCAAGAGCACATAATACTTGACCATATCAACAATGACCACGTGATAAAAAAAACCAAAACAACATCCACAAAACCAAAGAGTGCACCGTATGCCACAACATGTAGAATTTCTGGTTATTCGAATGTGCAATAAAAAATTGGACCATTACAATTTTTTTTTTTTTTTTGATAAGTAATCGACCATTACAATAACGACCTAACTAATTTAACTATTTAAAGTTCAAACAACAGGGCATAGGCAGCCAACTTTGATATAAGATAAACAAAGTTCAGTGTATCTCAAAGCCTTCATAGACTACATGAAGGAAAGAAACATTTAAGAAGACAAGACAGGGTTCAATGATGTCTGCAAAGTCAAATACGATTAAAAGATTCTTCGGCACACATGGCAAACCACACATAACGATATACAGAATCTATAATTTCAATTAAACGAGGACAAGAAGCATTCGGAAAGCCCATGAAATGGTGGCTTAAAGATCCTTTCACGATATGAGGCATTTTGAACCAATTCAAATAGGCGTTTTAGTAATCCGATAACACAATCCCAAGAATAGGCGTTTTGAACCAATTCAAATACTCGATTGACAGGCATAACACATACGTTTGTAGTAATTTTGACTCCCATCAAAAGACAGTAAAATTGCATATCCTAGCCTTTGTGAAGAATTGAAAAAAAAAAAAAGTTGCCTAAATTTGGGGATGGAGCATCTGTGTAGGCATTTGTCTCCCTATCTCTTTTTGAATATTTCAATCTCAAGATCACATAAAAAATTATATTCTTCTGTAAATAACGTTGGACTTGACCCCAAAAGACTCTTAAATACGCCCCATATGAAAGTTATTCCCTAAATCATTACAGATCATATCTTACTATAACTCTTGAACTGAGATGCACATGCTCAAATACCAGATGTGGGATTTTTCTACAATAGAAGGAAATAATCATGAAACTGAAAATCTCACCTAATAAGCCAGATACCCAATCTTTATCACATCGAATAAAAAATTTCAAGAGGTGTTGAAAAATGAAACCCACGAAAGAACCCAAGAAAAGATAAAAAATTAAATTAAAAAAACCCCACAAAAATGTATATTCAAGAATCGTGAAAATATAATAAGAAAAAGAAAAGAAGACTCACATGCAACACAGTAAAGGCAACCTCCCATGGATGAAACACGTTGTCCTTGTACCCAGAAAGATTACATTCACTCTGAAACTCTTCATCCCACTCCACCAAAACGCCGCCGTTTGGCCCGTCCACCCTTTTTACACTTTCCTCTCTTGTGCAGTTTCTTTTCACCGTCCTTCTAAATGATCCCAACGAAATCTTGGGACCCTTCCACCTGATCTCCACTGCAAGCCCACTTTTATCCTTCTCTCCATCCCCAACTACCCAATCACAACCGCCATCAGCCTCAAGCCTCTGCACTTTAAGTTTCACTTCATATTTTCTTGAAATCAGAGGTGGCCACGGTCTCCACTTCATCATCTTCACAACCATTTCGTTACTAATTTCAAGAAACGGTAAAACATGAAGAAACCCAAAAAAAAAAAAGAAAAGATTCCTTCTTTCTTCGTTCAAAAATGATTTTGTTTTCTGTCAAATGGGGTCGATAAAGAATGGATTTAAAGTTAGTGAGAGAAAGAAAGACGCATAGAAAAGAATATGCCGTTGGGTTTCTGGGTTTTCATTTTTCAAGATACAGATAATAATTCACATCACACCTCTATATATATCGAGAGACACACACACACACACAGACAGAAGGAAAAAGATTGTAGAGGGGAAGTGATGGTGAAGTTACCTAGCGTAGGGGCTAAATGGGGTTTGTAGTTAACGTTTTGTGGACTCTGTGTTTCAATTTGCAAATGAAACGGCGTAAAAAGTAGGTGGTTGACTTGAGTTACGACTTACGAGTATTTATTGTCAATGAAAATCTAGATTACGGAGGTTTGGGCCACCTTGTTTGATTTAAACTCGTGTCTGAACAACAATCGAACCGGTGACAAAAAACTCGAATAAATCATATTTTTTTTCAATCATTCTAGTTGGTTCAGTTTGATTTCGACGATATTGTTTTATCCCGCTCTTTAGTTTCGAGATATCATTTGGACTTGATCAAACTTGATTACTTTTATTTATTTTGTTTAATATTTATCTCAATTAAATTATTTTTTTTTTTAATGAAAATTCAATTGTTTGATAAAAGGGGATTGCATGCCAAATTCTTTTTTTTTTTTTTTAAATGGTGGTAATATGTGCATCATGCTTGAATAAGAAATTTTGGATTGAATTACTACGTGTTTGACTTGTAGAGGAAATAAGTTTTTGGATAAGATTTTTCAATAATTATTAACAAAAAAAGAGTTTATTTTAGAAAAATGACTGCATGTTTGAATTGTATTGAACGAGTTTAGAGATAAGATTTTATGATGATAATTATTTTCAAGAAAAGATGACTTCAAAAATTACTTCTTGTTTGAATTTCATTTGTGAATTTTAGGATATTTTCGATAATCTTATCGCTATGTATGTTTTTTGTTTTTCGAAAAAAGTTGTTTAAATCTCAAATATCGTGTGTAGTTATGGTAGAAAAGTGATATTTGAGAGCTTCTTCGTATTTATACACGTTTATGGCACGTTTGGAGTGTTGCGTTGTATACAATAATTAATAAATATCATCGTGTGTTTATACTCAATGTATCGTCAAGTTCAACGTATGTGAAATTCAACGTATTTGGTTGGAAAATTTAGTTGAATGATTATAGAAGAGATGCATTTAAAATCCGTCAATGTTTAATTCACCTTGAAAAGCGCATTTCGAGTGTTTCAATACTGAAAACTTACTTAGCATTTGTTTGAGCCCTATTTATTCAATCAAAATGCATTTTTTAACAGTGATTTCAACTATTACAATCACACGTTTTTCAATAAAATAATGTTACGTATAAATTCAAATTTTTTTTTTTTAATCATACATTCTTCATCAGACACTATTGTAAAATATATATTAAATGTTGGGATTTTGGAGGCTATCTTTACCTTGGAATTAGTCTAGAATCTCAGCAATTCAAGATCCACCAGTAGAAGAAGAAGAAAAGGCAGAAGAACAGATACAAAAATCAGCAGCAATAGGAATAAACCAGCAGTAAGAACACAATGAACGGATTTAACCAGGAAGAACAGAAGAACAGATAAAAATCAGCAGCAACAGGAATAAACCAGCAGTAAGAACACAATGAACGGATTTAACCAGGAAGAAAAACCTCTTCCTAACACTTTATTACCAAAGCAAAAACTTGATTTACAAACTTGAATTCTCCAGAAAGATTTTTTCCCAGATTTCTAAGAGTTTTACCACTATTAGACAATCTCACTTTCTCTTACTTTTTCACTCTCGAGAACCTCACCTCTCATCCTTCTAACCAGGCTATTTATAGACACAGACACAGAATCATTTCAGTTATCAACCTACTAACTAACTAAGGCTCTAGTTGGTTGAAGATTCCAACAAAAAAACAGAAAACAAGACACAAGAAATAGGCTCCTATTTCAACAGATTTCTGATTGGCTAAGGTTGTCTAATCTTCTTCAAGGATCACTTTTCCTAACAAACGAATTAACAAAATTTATCAAACATTTTTACATGAATAAACAAAAAAATTGCCAACTGTTCTAATTAAAAGAGGAATAAATATGCAGCATTTGATCATTTGTAATAAAACTGTTCATTTTCTCCTTCATCATGTCTATGCAGCAGCAACAGCCCATATTTACTGCAATCGCCAATTGTAACCTCATTTCTTTAACCAATTTACCCAGTCAGCATATCTAAAGCTGTTGCCCAAATTCTGCCCAAACTCAGGAAATACGAATTTCATCCAACTTTTGAAGTACTTCATGGACAACAAATTTCATTTTCAAGTGTTTCAGATGGACCAACACTCAGCTTTCTGTCAATCAATCTTTCAAAGGAATTTTCTTGTTTTTTCTCAAGAGAAAAGATAGAAAATCTGACTAATACGAAATCTATCAATGCCACCAAGTACATCGACTTCAAAGGGCATCCCAGGTTGCAACTCAGATTGGACGCCAGAACCATTGAAAAAATTGGGTGCCTGTCGCCACGACACAGGACCTGAGCCAGCTATCAAACTGGAGGACAATTTTTAATCCCCAACCCCCTCTTTCCTGAAAATCAAGGCCAACAAGCATTTGCAGATATTAAAAAACTAAAGCAAATGAAAAATCCCCTAATACAGGAGAATGATTGCTTAAACCAAGTGCTGACCCTCCAGGAATTTTCAAAAGAGAGTTTGGTATACTACAACCACATCACAAACACTGAAAGTTCTACATCCAACAGAAATCATTTTAATGTACAACATCCACAAACAAGCCATTGTCACCCATTTGCACAACCACGTCACAAACACTGAAAGGTTCTACAACTCGGCATACACTACCATCTAAATCAACAAACAAGCCTTCCCAACTAATGGTTGTCATTGTCAAATAAAGGAAGAAATAAAAGACGAAATTTGAATCATTGAAAAAAAAACTTCACCTACACGTACCAAAGCAGGATTGTACTAACCATCCAACATACATGCATGCAAACGACATTGGACATTGACTACACTTTTCAGACTTCTTGGAATTTCAAAACAGCAGAAATATACTCAAACTGAAATAATTTCCAATTCCATTAGTCTTCAAACATAGAGCAATTGATGCTTTACCATCAACAGGCAGTAACATCTACGTCCACTTTTTGGTCTTTTAACTCGGATTTGCACTTTTAGAAGTGATGAGAGTTGGAAGGAGATGAAAGATATTTAGAATTATTAAGAGAGAGAGAGAGAGAGAGAGAGAGAGAGAGAGAGAGAGAGAGAAGATCGCCCTTTTTTCGTTTACATCACTATTTGTTAATGGCGGACTAAAGATATTTAGAAAATACAGCTTTTAATTATTGTCCAACCATCCAAACAAACCCGAAACATCCCATATCACACTGCTAGCTCTCATCATCATTAGCACTTCTCCATTCCCTTTAGCGAGTCTTCCATTCAGCTTCAGATCCAATTCCTTCGAATAGGCTGCTGTAACAACTTCTTTGAGGGTTAAGGACTCCTTGCTATATTTAATGGTATCCCTTAAGTGATCAAAGGCTGGTGGAAAAGAGTTCAACAAGAAAATAGCTTGATCTTCTTCATCAATCTTGATGTCCAGATTCTCCAGATCAGAAACCAGCTTAGTAAACTCATCAATGTTATCATCAATTGACCTTGATTCATCCATCTTGAAGCTGTAGAACTTGTGCTTCAGGTAGATCCGATTAGGCAAAGCTTTGGTCAAGTAAAGCTCTTCCAATTTATTCCACATTTCAGATGCCGTCTTCTCCTTAATGACCTTCCTCAGAACTGTATCAGCGAGGCTGAGTA